CCCTTTTTTTTTGCACATTTCTTCGGCTTTAGTTTATCTTTTCTAATATAGAGTCCATTTAACCATGTTAGGTGGAAAAATTAAGCTATATTGTTGCTGTTATGACTTGAAAACCCATTACTCACTACTGCACGAAAACATCCACGCTGCTGCTTGTCGGAGCTGTAAACAAACCCATTAAATTCCCACAATTCAGTCAAATGGAAGCATTTGCTTGGCAGATTAAGAAAAGCTGTCATACTTGCATGTGTAACTGAATAATTACGGCTGCATTTGGCTTGGTTCGAGGCGGTTTCTCTGGTTTATTTACCACAGAGAGGCAAACTGAACGAGAGCGCTGAAAGCATATTAGAATGTAAGAACACAATAGGATATAATGGCCTTGCCTTTCAGCTCGGCGTCTTTCAATGAAAGTCAGTAGATGGCCATTTTAATGAGACGCTTTTCCAAATTAAACTTCTTTGTGCGTTGCCACAGTTAATACTATTATGGAAGTGCAATATATTAGGCATAAAATACAAATGCATGAGTTGGTTAGCCAGCCTTGAGAGGCTGAGTCAGCGTGCGACCTCATAAACGAGCTGTAGTAATGAATGTACTATTAATGAAATGACATCTAAACATCCCAAACATCCAGATAAATGAATTTACAGGCCGTTTGTATCTCCTACATGTCCTCACTTCTAGGAGAAAATCAATGCCTGCATGTCTGATTTCAAAAGCCCCTGCACTCTCTGACAGCTACTAATGCACTCGTGCTTGTTTGACATGCTATCTCACTCTGTACTTGCTAAGGCTGGAAATCCATCATGGTTTAATGCAATTTCAAATCACTCCGAATGACTTCAAGCGCCCATTTGATGCTGGAAGATGGTGCACTTACACAGATTATTAATTAAACAAAGAGGAGCGCAGAGTTTGACTTGAGATAAGCAGCTTGGTATTTTAATCGCACCCCCATCCCTTTATGATAAATCGAAGGCGTAGAAACATCAGCTTTGAACCGTGTTTGGTTTAACAATACAATCTAGTGGAGCGATCTGCTGAGAATGTCCCCCCCCCCACTGATGTGTCGAAATCATTCGTCTTAAAAGAGCAGATAAAGGACTACAGCAGCGTGATGTTCAAATTCTTATTAAGATAGAGCCGGCTCTGACAAACTTTGAATAGTTACAGGTGGGATCAAAGCAGTTCTTTCCCCCTGTGTAATTTAATGGGTATTTAATATGTGTATCAGAGGAAACTTGGTCACCATAGATCAGTTAGAGCACATCATTGATCTTGTGCTTTAAATGCTCAGTCTGTGTGTGAGGAGGTGAAAAGCATTGGGATGGTGAAAAGTCATATCAGGTCAACCTGACCGTGCAGAGGGAAATCTGCCCCCTTTGGTAACTTGATACATTTTTAGATGGAAGAAGAGTGAACTGGTGTTTGTTCTGAAGATGATGGACCATAGATGGCTGTTTACTGACATCTAGTGGTCAAAATTATTAAAACTCTCTTCAATTTGTGGCTAATATGCGAGTTTTGGCATTCAATTCATGCTTTTCTGATGTTTACAACTGGCTGGCACATAGATGCAATGCAATAATGAATAATAAGAGAAATATTAAGTAAAGTGAAAACAATCAAAGCTATTTATCCTGTCACACTCAGATCTGCAGTTTGTTGTGTTTATCACAGCAGGGCTCACAGTAGTTACTGAAATATCTTTTATTTCAATAAATAGGCCGCTTTTCATTTTAGTGTGCTTTAAAACTACTGGTATTAGCTCATCTAAATGACTTCATTGCTACTGGTGTCATGTATTTACTGTGCAATCTGTGGCCTGCAGTTTAGGTTTCTCTTTAAGTGGCAAAAGACAAGGGAGGAAATTTTACACCACAGGGCTAACTCTGGCTTATTTAGTTATTTTGCTGTTTTTGAATAAGCACAGTCCATTTCAAATAAATCCAAATTAAATCAAAATGTTCAGAGTTTCAGATCTTTTCCAAAGCTCCACGTCCAAAAAGGTAGTTTAAAATGTAAATAAAAACAATGCAAAGATTTGCAACTTCCTGGCCTATATTTCACTCACAGTTAAACAAAGAAAACCTATTAAACACATATAAGTGTTTAAACTGAGCATTTTCAGAAAAAAGCGTAGCACTTTTGAATTTGGTGGCAGCAATACGTAGCAAAAAGTTGGGCGAAGGCAACAAAAGACTGGAAAATGAAGTCAAAGTAAGAAACAGCTGGAGGAGCATTTCGCATCTAAGAGCATCTTTGGGGGGTAGAGGTTCGAATAATTTCAGAATAATGTTCCTCAATGTAAAACTGTGAAAACTGAATGTTCTCATAATAACAGCACATAAAATCAAAGTTTCAGAGAATCTGGAGAAATATCTGCTCAAGGGAGAAGGCTGAGAATCAGTAGAAGATCTCTGTGATCTTTGGACCCTTGGGCGGCACTGCATTAGAAACAGGGCTGTTTCTGTCATGGAAATCACTGCATGAGCTCAGAGACGTGTCCAGAAGTCTGAAGTCTGTGAACATAGTTCATCATGGCATCCACTAATGCAGGTTACTTTATTCAAAGAAGAAGCCACGTGTGAACATGATTCAGAAACACTGTCTTCTTGGGGCCAAAGATCTAAAATAGACTGAGGCAAAGTGAAAAAACTGTTCTGCAGTCAGATAAATCAAAATTAAAAATTTTTTGGTGAACACGTTCTACCACATCTGGACTGAAAAGAAAGGACCATCCTACTTGTCATCAGCACTCAGTTCAAAGCCTGCATCTCTGATTATATCATGGTACATCAGCTTCCACATCTGTAAAAGCACCATATGGTCCCATCCAGATGACATGTTTTGTTGGGAAGGCCTTGCATATTGACAATCCTAAACTACATACTGCTACATATCTATTATAACATCTTTGTAAAAGAAGACTCCAGGTGCTGAACATGCTGATGAAACAAAACATATGACAAAGAAGACCCAGGACTGTAGAACAGCTAGAATCACATAACAGACAAGAAGAGGAAACAGCTGGTCTCCTCACTTTCCAGATGTTTACAGACTAGTGCTGAAATGCTACACGATAAGGAACATGGCCCTGTCCCAATTTTTTTGAAACATGTTGCT